AATTTGCCTGAGGGTGGGGAATGAGAAGTTCCAATAAATTCGGCACCTCTCATTCTCCACAACGGACTCAATATCCCCCGGAGCATATGGCAGCACTGGGGTCTCGTCTATTCCGTACGAGTGCCTCAAATAGTAGTAGAGCACTCGCAATGCCGCATTGTGTCTATGGATATAGGCCGAGATTGCATACACCGTGCAAGAAGACAGCAGGTGCATAATTGTCTCGGACGCCCTGCGGCAGGCCCTGCAACTTGTGTCAGGGACCTCCATACCCATGACACGGCTACGGTAGACGAGAGTGTTAAAAACCCCATCCTGGCATGCCATGATGAACCCCTCTGTTTTCGATTTGAGCCCGCCTGACTTCAGAAAAGCAAAAGTCAGTTATTATTATTATTATTATTATTATTATTATTATTATTATTATTATTATTATTATTATTATTATTATTATTATTATTATTATTATTATTATATGATTTGAATCATAGAAGAGTCACTCCTTTACATCCATAGTGATGTAGTTTCCGCAAGAGTACCTCGTGATCCACGCAGTCGAAAGCTTTTGTTAGATCACAAAACACTGCTGCCGCAACATCTCCACCATTGATGTTTGAGTAGACCTCCTGAAGAAATGTAAACACAGCATCATGGGTGTTTTTATGTTCCTGAAATCCAAACTGATTCTTACTAATAATATTATGCGTTAGAAGGCAAGAGCTAAGTCGTTTCTTAACCAGTTTTTCTATTATTTTCGCAATGGTCGGGATAAGGGAGATTGGTCTATAATTAGAGGGGTCATTCAGGTTGCCTCCTTTGTGTAGGGGAATAATTACGGATGTTTTCAGAAAGTATGGGAACAAGCCATTTTGAAATGAGTGATTAATCAGTGAGACTAGTACCCCAAGTGCACTAACTGGAAGATTTTCAATAATCTTAATGGATATACCGTCATAACCAGATGCACTTTTATTTTTGATATCCTTAATTGTTTCAATCAGTTCATTTATGTTGGTGTCGTATAATACAAAATTGTTATTTACTGTGTGCTTTTTTAAATTATTCAAAGGATCAAATGGTACAACAATTCTTTCGGTCAATTTTCGTGCTATGGTACAGTAGAATTCATTCATCTTGTCTCGATTAGATAGATAGATAGATAGATTACACTATGTGGGCGGACGGGTCCTTCAGCATGTAGGCCTCCTAGTTCGGGCCCGTTATGCACCCACCTCTGCTGGGAATTGGTTTAGTCATGAAGGTAGCCAATTTCGCGGGCGAAAGAGACCAGCCTTCTCAACGAAACCCTTCTCACACTCTCTGGTTCCAAAACGATGTTCCCGAGATGTGCTTCCCGTATTGCTGCAACTGCTGGGCATTCCGTGAGGATGTGAGTAGCTGACTCCTCGTCCTCCAGGCACCACCTACATTCAGCATCATCAGTGATACCCATAATGTTGAGGTGCCTGTTTAGATGGCAGTGACCCGTGAGGAGCCCTACCACTATTCTTATTTCTTTTCTGCTCAATGTGAGCAACGTTTTGGTTCTTCTGATAGAAGGGCCTCCGATATGGAGTTTCGATTGTCTCATGCCTGGAGTCTCTCTCCATACCTCCTGGAATTTCGTTTCCAAGCTTTTCATCATGGTTGAGACGCTCCAGGATCTGGAAACTCCTAAGATTGGTTCTGGTCCAATGGCTGAGCTATTTGCTCCTTGTCTAGCCAGGGAGTCGGCCCTTTCATTACCGGGAATTCCCTTGTGTCCTGGGACCCAGAGGAGTTTCACCTTATTGGCTGCGGATAGCCTTTGAAGCTCATCAATACACTCCGACACCAACAGCGAACTGACCCTGTATAATGTGAGGGCCTTGATCGCCGCTTGGCTGACTGTGCATATCTTGATTTGCTGGTCGTGGTTGCCTCTGTTGAGATTTTCTCTAACACAGGCGAGAATGGCAAAAACCTCTGCCTGAAACACTGTAGCAAAGTTCCCCAGGGCGTAACTGAGTTCCGCTTTCGGAGATTGCCCATATACCCCAGCTCCTGCCGATCCCTCCATCCTGGAGCCATCTGTGTACCAAATTATTCCAGTGGTAGGGATCAGGCGGTGCCCGAACTGCTCCCAGTCCTCCCTTTTCGGGATAATTGACTGAGGCCTTCTGCTGAATCTAATGACAGGAGTGAAACTGTCCCCCGGCATCTCTAGGAGGGGGCATTCCTTCACCGTCCGATTCCATAGTCTAGAGTGTCCATACGTTCCCTCGCTCCTCCATTGGTTGGAGCTCCGCAGACGGGCGATGGCTTTGCATGCCTCGTGTTCAATGAAGAGGTACAGGGGTGGCAGACCTATAAGTGTCTCCAGTGCCCTTGTGGGTGCCGTCTTCATTGCACTCGTTATGGCAAGGCAGGCAAGTCGTTGCACTCTGTCTAGTTGAGTTTTTGATTTGCCGGATGCTGTACCTTGCCACCATACGATGGCTCCGTACGTAATCATTGGACGTATGAGAGTCGTGTAGATCCAGTAGATAATCTTGGGACTGAGCCCCCACGTGCTTCCAAACGCTCTTCTGCATGCCCAGAACGCGGCCATGCTTTTCTGAACTTTATGTTCGATATGTTCGTTCCAGTTCAGCTTAGAGTCTAAAATGACCCCAAGGTACTTGACTGAACCTTTGTACTGCAGAGACCTGCCAGAAAGTTGGACGTTTGGGAGGTTCCCTTTTATGCGTCTCCTAGTAAAGAGAACTAGTTCCGCTTTTTCAGGGTTCACGCTCAGCCCGACTGAACGGCACCATACATCCACCCCGTCAAGTGCCCTTTGTATCGTACCTCTCACGAGGCCCGACCCCTGGTCATCCACCAGGATGACTATATCGTCCGCGTAGGCCTGAGTGTAGTACCCCAAATCTTTTATTTTTGATAGGAGACCATCCACTACTAGGCACCATAACAGAGGGGACAGAACTCCCCCCTGTGGGCAGCCCTTCTTTGGCGTGACCTCGCTAGAGCTACTTTTGAGAGTTGCTTTAGCTAATCTCTGGGAAAGCATGGCGTGGATCCACCCTATTATGGATGGAGCCACGCCCCTTTCCCTTATTGCCTGACATATGCAGTCAAATGACGTGTTGTCGAATGCTCCTTCTATGTCGATGAATATGCCTAGAGTGGCACTGTCACGGTCCAACCCGCCCTCGAGTCTGTGGACGAGACGGTGGAGAGCTGTCTCCGTGCTTCTACCAGTTTGGTAGGCGTGCTGAAGGTTGCTGAGTGGATATAAGGTCAATATATCCTCTCTGATGTATCTGTCCACCAGTCTTTCTGTGGTCTTGAGAAGAAAAGACGTAAGACTGATGGCCCTAAAAGATTTTGCCTGGGTGTAATCACTTTTTCCAGGCTTGGGAATGAAGATAACCTTGGCCTTCCTCCATGCTTTGGGAACGTATCCGTAGGCGAGGCAGCTTCGAAAAATCTTCAGTAAATGGGGGATCAGGATATCTTCGCCCTTTTGTAGCAGGGCTGGAAATATCCCGTCTTCTCCCGGAGATTTGAAAGGTGAAAAGGACTCAATGGCCCATTTCACTTTATCGTAAGTAACAATGCCAGCAGCCACTTTGTAGTCGACCTTTCTCGTGAGAGAGAGGGGGAGAGGTGGAGTTGGCTGTGGTTTGGGTGTCGCAGTGTCGCTACCCGGAAAGTGGACTGAGAGCATGTATTGGAGTGTTTCTTCGTCCGAGGCAGTAAATCCGCCTCCGGGCAGTGTCAGCACCTCCAATCTTGCTCCCGGATCTTTGGATAGGGCCTTGTTGAGTCTTGCTGCCTCTGGTAAGGTGTTTACACCTTGGCAGTAGTTCCTCCAAGTGTCCCTCCGTGCGTCTCGGATACACTTTTTGTATTCCCTTTGTGCTGACTTATAGTCCTCCCAATGTGTTGGTTGTTTGGTCCGTGTGGCCCTATTCAAACGTTTGCGGACTTCCTTGCGGTGAGCCTCTATTTGTGAGTTCCACCATGGGGTTTTGCCTGCCTTGTCAACCTTTTTCAAGGGACAGCTGGCTTCATATGATGTAAGGATGGCAGAATTGAGACAGTCGGCAAACGTCTCAATTTCCCCCTCAGATCCGTAACGTGTAGGCATAATTCCAAGCCTCTCCTTCAGTTCCTCCACGTAGAGGTTCCATCGGGTAGCTCTGGGATTCCTATACCTACAGCTCTCTGCATGGCTGTTGCCTGCTATTTTAAATAGTATGTGTCGGTGGTCCGCTAGGGTTTCCTCCGTTGACACATGCCAGCCGCTGACGCTCCCTGTTAGTTCTGATGAACATAGTGTGAGATCGATAATTGTTTGTGCCAGAGGCGTGAAGTAGGTGGGCACTGATCCTCTGTTGAGGATTTCCAGTTTACTGGAACTCAGGAATTCGAGAAGCGCCCTACCCCTTGGGTTCACGTCGCGGTTTCCCCACAGGGTGTGATGGGAGTTGACGTCGCAACCCAACAGGAGGGGCAATCCTTGCTCCTCGCAGTGCTCTATCAGTGTTATAACCTTTTGTGGAGGATTCTCCTCTTCATATGGGAAGTAAGCGGAGCCTACAATGACTTCGCGTGTATTACCCCCTGTTTCGTCGACCAACTTCACCTTCACCGCTACCAGGTCTCTGTGACGAAAGCCCGGCAGCGGTGTGGCGTCGACACCTTTTGTATGAATACATGCTCTGGGTCTTGCTTCGGAGGGACAATAGTAGAGTGAACCTCCAGCTTGACCCATACCTCTTATCTTACCCCCGTAGGCCCACGGCTCTTGGATAAGACATATATTTATATCGAGCTCCCTGAGCCTTCTGCATAGAAGGGCTGTAGAGGCCCTCCCGTGCTGTATATTGGCTTGCAGAAGTCTCAGGGGCTCAGAGGAGCATGAAGAAGAGACCGCCATTTGGTAGCCTAGTCTTCCTGCCCCTCTTCTTGTCCAGGGCTACCAGGACTCGCGTCCTGGGCGCCCCCTTCCTGACCGGACTCTGCCAGAGGACTGTTGACGTTGTCCTCTGTCAAAGTCTCGTCGTCGAGTTCGGTGAGGGTTTCCTCATCTGCATGAGACGGCTCCGCAGGGGGTTGTCTGTCGACGTCTGCGGGTGTCTCTTCGTCGACGGAGACTGTCTCCATCGGCTGGTCTTTGGGACCCTCAGCTGGGAGGTCTGTCGCAGAAGACGAAGGGGCGTCCCAGCTGACCAGTGCCTTGGTGGCACCGAAAAACAAGGCTCCGTTGGCCCGCCTGGCAGTGGCGATCGACTCAGGGTCCATCCCCACCACCAGGCTGAGCCCACGTTTCTCCTCTCTTCTGCTCCAGACCCTCCACTGACGGGTTGAGAGACCTGGATTCTGCCTTTCCAGGGCATTGAAGATGTCCTGGTTCGGCGGTCTTATCGGGATCCGGATGACCGTTCTTTGCAGTCTGAATCTATCCGGATCGACCGCTATGAGGTTAATGCCTTCCCAGGGTCTGATGTTTGGCAGTTCCCTGAGAAGCCATTCCCTCGTCTCCGCATTCTCTGCGGTGACTAAAAGTTGCCCCCTCCACAGTCGCGTTGAAGCGAATTGTATTGGGGGCGAGTTTGCGCTCATTGGCGTGCTGATGATTAATGTCAGCACAGCGTCTAGGAACTCTGCCAGTTGGTCCTCCGTGAAGGCCACGTTGGTTTGGCCTTCCCTGGAGACAACCACCTGCAGAGCTCGGTTTTACGATGTAATCCGCGCGTAGCTCTTCGGACCAGTCGTGCCCTGCCCCATTTGTGTGGGGCCTGGACGTGGTCGCTTGTCTCGATTAATAGGTATGTCGATTTCGTTTTTTTTTTGGAATTGCCTGTTAGATCTTTTATAATCGACCAAGTCTCTTTCGTGTTATTGTTCGAATATTTAATTCTGTTCTTATAATAATTTTCTTTTGCTAACTTTAGGACTTTTCTATAGTTTTTTCTATAAAGATTAATATGAGAATGGATAATGGGAATGTTTGTAAACTTTCTTGTGTGATACAGTGAGCGTAAATTTCTTGAGGACGTTTTTATTCCTTGTGTTATCCATGGTTTCTTATGTTTGAGTTTGATTTTTTGAAAAGGAAATGATTCATTGAATACCTTCACTAATTGATTGTGAAATATTAGGTATGTATCAGTCTGCGATGAAATATAAGCCCAATTCAAATTAAGACACTTATGATAAAACTTTTCGTAATTTGCTCTGCTGTACAGCCTGCCATATTTATATTTAACATTATTTTCAGTATCATTGAAACATATTGTACATTCGACCGCTTCATGGTCAGATAGTCCGGAGGATAAAACTGAGCAATTGATCCTCTCTTCATCGAAGTTGCTACAGATATAATCGATACAAGATGAGGAAGACTGGGATATACGGGTATCTGACTCGATATGCATACTCAAGTTGAATGAATCAAGTAGTCTCACAAGTGCCTGAGTTGCTGTAGAATTGTTGTTATTATAATCTATATTGAGATCTCCAGTAACTAGTATATTGGAATTTATTGATAAGTCATTTAGTATTAACTCTAAATCCTCTAAATATAGATTCACATCCGATGAGGGTGATCTGTACAGGCACAATATGTACAAATTTATTTTTTTGAAGTGACAAATGGAGCATTCAAATACTTTCTCTTTCATTAAGTGATTGTACTTGGAAATATTTTCGACAGGAAATTTTTCAGAGAATTCTTCGTTTACTGAAATCACAGTGCCTCCATAGCCCATATTCCTACAATATTTAGAGGGTACAACATAATTAGGTATAATACAAGGTTCATCATTATTAAGCCAGTGCTCAGTTGACACAACTACATTTTCAAAGTTTTTGTCATCAAGATATACCAAAAATTCATCACTTTTACAGCGTATGGATTGAATATTCATTAACAATAGAGCAAATATATAAAGGAAGAAGGAAAGCTCAAAGTCATCTCCACAACTTTAATATGAAGTGTTTATTCAACGGGACATGTGTTGAATAAACACTTCATATTAAAGTTGTGGAGATGACTTTGAGCTTTCCTTCTTCATTTGAAAATTCCACTCCACTTTGAGCAAACATGGACTTCTACCAGAGATTAATAGAGAAAATGTTAGTTGGCAGATTTTGTTTGTTACCTTTGCTGCGTGTTTTGGTCTCGATATTCGAAAAAAGAGTTTTCCTCAGAGTTTTCTGCACTCTTTGAAACATGGTCCTCTTGCATTATACTGCTTATGGCACTATCTATTTGCGAAACTCTGCTTATGGTCTTGAGGACAATATTACCTTTTGTTTGCGTGAGAAATCTCAATACATCTTCGAGTATTTCGTGTTTTCTTCCTTTTTGTTTATGGTCAACCATAATCTTCAAGGATGTGCATAGATTTTGTTTGCCATAGAATTTTGCTCGTCCTAATATTTTTTTTATAATAATATTATCTATGTGTTTATCGCATTCCGTAATAAGTAGTAGATTCGTAATTTTACTTATGGGTAACAGTTGTCTTAGTGCAACCTGTAACGTTTTGTTATTACTGATGTTACTAGTATTACACATGATTATGACATAGTCTTCGGATCCATAGTCAAAAGTGTCATTGAAAATCGTACTAGTTAGTTCTGAAAGCTTCGTTTTCGGTTTCAGAATTTCAGAAATATTGTATTTGGCATTTTGAATAGATTTCCTTGATACATCAGAAAATCTGATAGCATACTGATCTCCGATTATAAGTATTTTGTCTCTGTGCATATGGGTTTCCTCATCAATGCTTGAAGTTTCATTACATGACCTTGTTGTGATTTCCTCTTGATTATTGAGATCATCATGTTGCCCAACCGAACATTCAACTATGTTGGTTTTCAGTCCATTATCTGGGTGACTTTCTTCGTCTGATGGTTGACGTTGATTCTCATTGTGAGAAACGTTGTCCACTATGTCTACTGAATATATGTCCGTTTCTTGGGATAGGGTGGGCAATTGAGTTTTTTCATTGGGTTGAATATTGTCATCATTTAAAATTTCCACTTCAAAGGAATTAATCTTCCTGGATTGCCTTATCTTCCTCCTTTTTCTTTTACATCTTATGTCTTTTACTTTGTATAGTTTGTCATTTCTAGTTTGTGTACCTTTTTCAATACTCTGTATAATTTTCAGAGTTGGAGTCTCAGTCACTTTTATTTTATTTTCTTCCTGCTCAAGAGTTTGGTCAATGTATATGTTTCTTGATTCCCGGTGCTTATCACCCTGTATCTGAAGCCTGCTTGGTGATTCATTGGGATTCGGAGTCAAATTTTCCTTTTTTGTCGGGGTATTCTTTTTTCTTTCCAGTTCCGCATCTGGTAGGAATTCCTTGGTCCTTTTTTTTTCATCAGTTTGAGTTTCTATTGTTTTTGTTTCAAGATATTTATCAGCTAGTTTTTATATGTAAAAGGTGATTTGTTGTCATTTTGGTCTAGTTGAAGTTTAAGGAGATTTTTCAGATTTTTCTTGAATATCATTATTGGAGAACATCTTATATGGGAAGGGAGCTCATTATACAAAGTGACACCCTTTACAAATATTGAGTTTTTGACCAGAGGTTGTCGAGAACCTCATTGATTCCAAATCACTGTCATGTCTTATATTATGGTGATGAATATCATTTCTCCTGATGAAAGTTAAGTTAGACAGCCTCTTAGAGTTAATGATTTGGTGTATATAGAGATATACTTGGTATTTGTGAATAGCATTTAGGGGCATTATGTTATAATTTTTATATAGATCATTTGTGTTCTATGCAATCCGTGAATATTTTTTATTGCTCAATCGGCTTGATCACTTTTTTGAAGGAAGGGTACCATAGCAGAGTAAGATATTGTATGTGACAATGTATCAATGAATAGTAAATTCCTCTTAAAAGATGTTTTGGTATGCAATTATTCAACTTCCATAAAATACCTATTGGAGCTGCAATCTTAGATCTCAGCCTGTCTAAATGGGTTTTCCAGGACGAAGTTTCATCAATGTAAAGACCAAGGTACTTAATAACTCGAGAGTATTGCAAGGTTGTATTCCCATATTGTATGTTCACTTGGACATGGGGGGTTTGTCTAGAGATTATTATATATCCAGATTTATTTACATTGAGTGTTAATTTGTGAGTAACCAACCAGGTAGAAATTGTTTTCATGTCTTCCACAATATTGAGTTTCAGTTCATTATAAGAGTTGGTAAAGTATAGTATCATGGTATCATCTACATATCATCCTGTTTCCCCTTTCAGTTTTATTTTTTATATTGAGTTGATATTAACAAGAAATAAGGTTGGTCCTAAAATAGACCCTTGAGGCACGCCACATTTGATTTCTCTTTCTGTGCTTGAAAATTTTCCCATTGAGACAAAGTGCTTTCTGTCTGCTAAACAATTTTTGAACCATACATGACAATTTCCTCTAACGCCCAAAGAATATAGCTTATCCAGCAGGATTTCATGGTTTACAGTGTCGAATGCCTTTCGTAAATCAAGGGAGACCATAACACATTTCTTATTTTCATCTTTTTCTATTTGTATTTCAGATATCATGACTGTTGTTGCTGATACTGTGTCACTTGTTTCACGAAAGCCATATTGACGTTTGTAGAAAAAGTTTGTGCTATTCAGATAACAATTCAGCTTAGTGTTTACAATTTGTTCTACTATCTTTGATATGATTGGCAGAACTGATATTGGTCTGTAGTTGTTCACTTGGTCCTTCTCACCATTTTTATATAGGGGCCGCACACTTGCAATTTTCATTTTACCAGGGACTATTCCACTGCTGAGTGATTGATTAATGATTTTACACAGGATTGGTACTAGAGCTTTTCTACATTTTTTTACAGTAGTTACATCTATTCCATCAAAACCTTGGGCTTTTCCTGTCTCAAGTGCATCTATGAGCTATCCTATCTCTTTCTCAGAAGTTGGATTAAAGAACATAATTTGGCACTACACTGTTTAACCACTAACCAAACCGATTTTTTAACGCCTCGACACGTGTTTCGCTAACTATGTTAGCATCTTCAGGAGAAGATTAAAACTAAATATCCTATTCTAGTGTGCTGCTTATATACTAGGTATATGTCCACCCAACTGTGAAAAATACTAACCGTCAAGTTAATGTTTGTTTAACTGTGTCCTTGAACATATCATAGTCTCTTTTAAGTTTCTTGTTATCAGTTACCAGTGTATTGAAAGTTGTTTTGAATTCATCCATCATATGGTTACTGAAGACAATTGCTTCCTCCATACTCTCAAGTTTTTTTGAAATAGCGTCATACATTTCTTCATTCGTCATGTTCCTCTTTTCATGTTGTTGGATGCCAATTTGGATTTTGGTGTTGTTATTGTCTTCTTACCATTTTTTTTTTATTTTCAGGTATGAGTTTCTAGAGTTACGTTCTTTGTGATTCTCCTGGTTTGGATCATCATCGTCAGATTCGTTAGTTTCGTATTCAGGTTGGGGTGTTGATATTTTCTCCTTCTTTTTTTTTTCTTATACTCGGACCTTATGTCTTCGCGACTAGGTTCTGTTGATACGATAGATACATAGTGTTCGTCATCACTGTGGTCGCTGCTCTCACTTTTCGAATAAGAAGAGGAGGCACTAACCTCGTCTTTACACGTTTCACAGAAAACCTCAATTTCATTCCTGTTGGAACCTTCCAGGTCTTCTTTGGTCATCTTGGCACAAGCTAGATGCATCCATTTTTCACATGCACCACTACACTGTATTTTATATCCACTTTTTCCAATTTTTTTAGTACAAATTGGACATACTTTAATTATAACCATGTTGACCCAACAACTCTTCTTCTTCTTCTTGTGTTTTTACCATACGGTACCAGAAAGTAGCTTAACCCGTGAAAAGATCACTTGCTGATTCGAAAAATTGAAGCTCTAACTCATACACAGGTGTTGACTTTGTTGAATTTGGTGAAAAATAATTCTGACTCTGACTAGTAGATGGTCTTAGTATTGGATTGACAGTAGAACTCATCAATGGCGCATTAACTGGATCAGACTCTGGGTCAGATACCTTCTCATGTAATTCTGCATCTAATTGCAATGCTGTTGCATGAGATTCATTCTCAAAAATTGACATTTCATCAAAATTTTGGATTCAAAGGTATCCTTTGAATTCTCCGAGTTACATGGCATATTCCAGATACTGCTCTCTTAAAAGTAGAATCTGATGTTGGTCCCTCAGAATCACTGATCAAAGTTTGTATAGATGTTAAAGTGTTTTCAATGTCAACTTTTTCAGATGCAAAATTAAATGTTGGGTCAACAAATTTCCTTAGCCAAGAGGCGTCCCAAAATTTTTCTCTATTCATCCATGCTACGTTCTGAAATAACACCTCTGATTTTCAGTTCATAATTAGGTTCTGCTATGAGCAAATGTTTTGCTTTAAAAGAATCCATGGTGAATAGTGTGAAGGAACGAACAAAGAAAACAGATGAAATACCCAAGTACTGCAGTCACGAAAACTTTCCAAAAATTCCCATGAAAAATATCTGTCAAAATTGTTACCAGACAATATTTATCATGATGGAAATATTCATTCCTATTTGAAATTGCAGTCACTGCTCCAAAATATGTTCTTTATTACAAACACAATTAGACAACACCGCAGTGCTCTCCAGCACAACAAATACTAAAGCCTTTTCTGTTGAAAAACTTTCCTGTAGGCTTCTGTCAGAAACGGAGCTAAACTTCACATCCACATGGACCTAAACGTACAGTTTCCACTCAACCAAACGTACCAGCTCAACAATCTAAGAAAATTTGAAAAAACTCAAGAAAAATTTTGAAAAGGATTCAAGAAAAAATTATACTTATTTTCGAACAAGAATTTTCGGGCCCTACACGTTGGACGCTATTTATGTGGCCAACTTTCAATTTAAAAGAATGAAAGTATTGAAAAGTCGAACACATTTTGTATCGGCAGCTGCACATCGGAGAACAGATAAGTGAGTTCGAAGTATAGGCTAGATGGTGACGGAAATTCAAGTTCTTGGACGCCAATCAATTTATGAAAATCCTGAAATTTGGATAATCGAGAAAACCAAATTTCTTTTCAAATGAGCTGTTTTTCAAAAATCTGAAAATTGTTCGATGTGTATTTTCTTAGAAGGCTGGGCTAGACATATGGAAGAATGAAGACCAGAATGGAATTCAAGACCTATATTCCACACCATCAGAGACAAGGTTATATAACGATTTTCACCGAGAAAATCAAAATCACTTTTATCCACAGGTCAAGTGCACGCCACCATGGCTAACCGAGAAAAAGTGAGGTAGCTACGTTCCGGAAATTCTCTTACCCTCGTTTTCAACTAGTCAAAACCCTAACTTCCTGTTAAAATCCCAAATTAGCGCCAAATATGAATTCCAAGAATCCTATTGGTCGAAGAAATGCAACTATTAAGAAGAATTGTTCTTTTTAACCTGTCTTCATAGGAATAATCTCCAAATCCTTCACAGAAGACAAATGACAGTCCACAATGACTGCAGTATGACAGCAGTGACAGTGACATCCTGATGACACTGATACGAAAATATAAACCTGAAATATTATATACTGTCTGTAGGTTAATCGAGGAGGTGGTACATTCATTATTGCAAATTTTTTGGGATTTTCTCTCCTCGTTTCTATAAAATAAAAATATGAATATTATTTCAATATACGTGTAGTAAGGACAAATCAGATTTTTTGCCCCAAAATGTCACTGCGTTGAAAGAATTTTCCTATCAGAGAGCCTAAAAGGAAAATTCACTAACTTGTCAGTGACAATTTGTATTGAAAAATTTTTGGAGAAGAGAAATAAAGGTATATAGGAAAAATATCAAATGTTCACTCATCTTTGAACGTTTCGGGACCGATTCTGCTCCCGTTTTCAACATGAAAAGAGATTATTTCAATAGCGAAGTCGTATAATATGTCTTGAAGCTTTTCAGTTTTCAACAATTGGTGACGTTGGCAATCAAATGAGTTACAGGTTGTTTCCATTAATTAATCTTGAATTTACCATTTTCATGTTCAGATTATAGTAGTGAATACCATGTTCTGAACATGAAAATGGTAAATTCAAGATTAATTAATAAAAACATCCTGTAACTACTTTGGGCCCCTGTACAAAAATATTTTGTGCAGAGCAGGTAGAGTAAACTACCTCAAAAACAATCTGGCGCTCGAGAACCGCTTCCCCCCCCCCCTATCGTCAAATACCAGAGTTGTCTCCGTCCTGAACAGAGAGCCAAAGTAAGGGCCTCAGAAATTGAGACCGTTACAAGTTTATCTGAATGTGAAGTCTTTTTAATTATTGATGAATAAGATGCCTCACATTTTTACAAGCCAAGAACAAGCGGATATTCATTTTGTTTACGGTTTCGCAAATAGGAATCAAGCAGAAGCCGCCAAGGAATATAGGAGAAGGTTTCCACATAGAAGACATCCCCATCACAGTGTGTTTGTGAATATTTACCAAATATTTGCTAACAATGGTGCAGCGCTACTTTTATGGAAAATAGGTGCATTTGCGAACGACAGCTCTTCGTCAGTAGGCACTATGGGTTCGAGTTATCAAAATGAGTTAAAATAGCAAAAATTCAGTTATCAAGCAATCATAAGGTTGAACAAAGAAGATGGGGCGTGCAACGGAATCTTTCTCAGGGTGATTTGGTGTATTTGGGTTTCTGGTTCAGGATGACGGAAAAAAGCAGACTGTGGGTTCGTGATTTATTCAAGTACTCCGTTTTACATAAAAAGGGAAACCGTTTTGGAGAATCTACAAAAATAAATTGCGGGCACGAACAACGAGGGAACTTCGTGTTTTATTTCCCAGGCAGTTTTACCTTTATTGATTTCCTTGCCGATTTTCCATTATTTAATTCAATAACAATAAACTTCTCACATCTCTTTCGAAGCTACTAAATGAGGAAAATAACGAATTTCCACTTTTTACTGGAGTCACAAAAACCGGTGGTACCAAGAGGGTTAGGTAGCGACATCCTACGGCGCATCGGCGAACCCGTAATGTTTCAGCGACCCACGCGACACAGGGTACTAGCATGGCTAGCCATGCTGGACGCTGTACTTAAACTTCCCGCACGCTGAGGGCACTCCATTTGATCCGCTACAGGCGCCACTGCAACTTTCAATTCATATGATATGTTAGGTACCTGGAAAGTTGAGCAACCAGATAATGAATAATATTAGTTGTTATCCCAGACTAAAAGACCTAAATTTACCTTGTGATGTTGTGAGTTGAAGTATCATGTCAATAAACAGATAAAACAGTGATATACAATACTCAAAACATTCAATTATGATGGTAGGACTCATATATCATATCACAGGTTTTGACAAATATGAATAATCAAAAAATATAAGATACCTAATTCCCGTTAATGAACTACACTGTTGTTGCCTGCTTTTTTAAGTGGATGAAAATACAGGGTCGCTGATATGTATGGAAACAGGTGGATATCTCGGTGACCTGTTGTTAGATTTTTTTGAATTTATGTATAGTGTGATTTCAAAATGTGGCGAATTTGAAAATGTTATAGCCAATGTTGCCACTTTTTCAGTTATTCCAGATTTGATTTGTGACTTCCTTATTTTGAATAAAACACCCTGTACTCTAATAGAGTTTTAGGTTCTCATTGAAGAGCTGATTTCATCGATCTATCACACTTGGGGTCTAGCGGGAATGATTACATAGGTATAGGGTGTTTAAAATCAAGATTTTTCAGTTTTTGGAATTTTTTGTGTCGAAACTATCCATTATCGATCAAAACCGCTCTAATGTTCCTATCTTTACTTTTGATTTACTATCTACTGACATTTAATTGGAACAGATACAGAGGGTGATCAGAATTCTGAATCTTGAACCACCCTGTATTTGTTTCAATTAAATGTCAGTAGATAGTAAATCAAAAGTAGAGATAGGAACATTGGAGCGGTTCTGATCGATAATGAATAATTTCGACACAAAAAGGTCCTAGAGTTGAAAAAAACTAGATTTTAAACACCCTATACCTATGTACTAATTTCCGCTAGACCCCAAGTGTGATAGATCGATGAAATCAGCTTTCCAAGGAGAATCTGGAAATTCAATAAGGTATAGGGTGTTCCATTCAAAATAAGGAAGTTAATGTAAAATACGGAATAACTGAAAAAGTGGCAACATTGGCTATAACATTTTCAAATCCGCCACGTTTCGAAATCAGACATTACATGAACTCAAAAAAATCCAACAACAGGTTACTGAGATATTCACCTGTTTCCATACATATCAGCGACCCTGTATATATAAATCAACTTTATATTGTACTTGAAAACTCGAGAGCTACTGTAAGGACGTTTAATAGTCATAGCAGATTTTGAAAAAAATATTGAATATGGAAGAATTCTACCAGCGCATATGTGGAGGGGAAGTATGTACCTTTTATGTGTGATTTCATAAATTTATGACCTGGCTATGCACACTAGCAATGGGCATTAGGAGTGAAAAAAAATGAAAAATAAAAATATATTTTTATGTAAAAAACCTGTATGGTGTGTCCTACACCAGTTATCTAGAGTAGCTTAATGAATGGCTTCAGTGCCACCAGATAAAGCTGCTGAGGGGGAGGTTGGTGGAGAGCGGGGTGCTGACTTCACATCCATGGATGTCAG